CTCTGTCGTTGTTGTTGTTGTAGTGGTTGTGGTGGTGGTGGTGGTGGTGGTGGTGGTGGTGGTGGTGGTGGTGGTGGTCGCAGAGGTATGGTGGTGGAGGTGGTGGGGGTGGTAATGGTGTGTGTATTTTACACAGTATCTTATTACGTTGCCCAAGCAAGTAATCCCTCAAACATCCCTGCCTCAGCCTTCAATAGACTTGTACTGCATCTGGTTCTGTTCCTTTTTTGTGAACAGCTTTGAGAACATACTTGATTTTTTCCTCTTTTATCCATAATTGTTCACTGTAAAAAAAACTGACAACAGTTATAGTCACACCCACATTGGGAGCATAATTTTTCCAAATGTTGTCTTAAAGTGTTGGTCAACCTTTCCTGGATTTGGCTTGAAGGGGAGCTGCTGTGGTTTTCCCTTCTTGATGTTTGGTTGCATGTCACTACTGTGCCTTGCTCTCGTTAGAGAAAATGCAGATGACGTTGGATGAGTCTGTCACATGAGCAGCGTTACTATTCTGTCCAGAAAGAGGCAACACTTTTAAAGCTCTCACATTTACCATTGACTTAGTCTGCATGAATGTCATTTCCTCTTCATCTTATTCATCCCATTGCTACAAATAAGAAAATCTAAGATTGAGGAAAAAAGAAAACCACACACACACAAGCTTTAAGTGGTCAGAGCAATTGTTCTTGATTGTATATACCTATCTCCCCTGCCAAAGCTCCTTAGCATTACTGTATATGATGCTACCTTTTGAGATGAGAATTAAATCACTGAAAACAAAACTATTCTTTTCAGAGAAGGCGTTCATTGGAAGGACAGTGCACTGCACGTGGGGAAGTAGTGGTCTCAGAAGGTTGTCTGTCTGCCATCTGCTTTGCATTCTGAGGCTTCCAGGGTGCTTGGTCCAGCACACCACATTGTGCTGTTGCCAAGGCTGTTGGGGGCAGTTCTGATGGATACCAGTTCTGCTCTGTGGTTGTCAAGAGAACAGTTCTTTAATCTGTATTTTTTTCAAATATGGAGGTGTTGACTTGTTTCTGATCTCAACTCTTCTGGACAAAGGTTGTAACTCCTTTGGTAATTACTTGGGCAAGAAAACTCAACCACCAGCTTAGCGGGTGGAGACTGGGTGATGTCAAGGGTACTCTTTGTATGTTCTACAGCTCGAAGGGATTACAGAAGAGAATGTTAAGTGTAGGGGATTTATCCTCTGAATTTAAATGCATCATACTTTCCCCAGTTGTTAGGAGGCTTTATAATTATAAGAGCCAGTGCTAGTACATTATACTTAAAATATTCTGTACAGTGTTAAGTATGCCTAGTATTTAAAATATATTATCTCCTTAAATCTACAGTAAAATCCTAGAAAGACAGGCATTATCCTTGGTTTTCATCTGAAGATACTAAAACTAAAGAGATGACGTGATTTAAAACATTTTTTGCAGTTCCATGCCTGTGTACAGTAAATTGTGATCCTGTTAGCCCTCGTTGCCTTCACTTATCCCTGGGCTCCCACTGGTCCTCTGCTTCTCCCCAACCAGGTCCTCTCCTGCTTTATATCTTATTGGTCAATCTATCAGTTTTTGTTTGGTTGATTGTGTCAGGAAGTGGCGTGTGCGTGCCATAGCATGCTTGTGGTGAGGATAGGACAACTCTGGGGAGTTTTTTCTTTCCTTCTAACATGTAGGTCCTGAGGATGGCACTTGTTTTGTCAGGCTTGGTGGCAAGTGCCTTTTCCACTGAATCATCTCAACAGTGCCATGTCCTTTCTTTTTCATGCAGGTCTTGTACAGGCACCCACAGCTACCGTGTGTTCACGATTGCAGTAGCCATGTCCTACCCAGAGGACAGCCTTTGATGGCACTGCAGTCTGTCCTCTGGCTCTTACAGCCTTCCTTCTCTCCCACAGCATCCCCTGGATTTTGGAGGGTGCAATGATCTGTCCAGTTTAGGGCTGAGGACTGTACTGGTCGTCACTTATGCTCAACACTTTGACAGAGCCTTTGCACTGCCCACTGTAAAAAGACTTCTCTGACCCAGACTGAGACCAGCACTGGTCTGTGGCAGTTGTCTCATTGTCCATCTAGCAAAACATCAGTAATGTATTCCCTCTAAAGCCACAGGCTTTTGCCAAGTTTGTAATACCAGACATGAACAAAACCAATCAGAAAGTGATTGGTTAAACCCCACCCCCACCCACTTCCAAACAGTCTTGCCCTGTTGCACAGTGGACATATCTTGCCTGGTGGGTTGGTATTGTACTGTAGCTTGGTAAGACAGTTGATGACATTTCTCCCCCAGTGGCCTGCATAGCCCCTTCCAGAACTGTGGCTGCAGCTAGCAGGGAGGAAGCTTCCAGCTTAGTTCTAGCTTGATTTCTGTTTCCTGCATCCAAAGTGTATGGTTATCTTCAACAATAATTCTAGCAGGGAACCGAGAACAGTGGTAATAGCCTGTATTGTTTTGGGTGCTTCTCAGAACTCCCTAACCATTACTTCTAGGGAGGCACCCTGTACCTGGCACTGGGATTTTCATTAAAAAACCCATGGTTTCTTGGGGCTGGAGAGTTAAGTGCAATTGCTGCTCTTGTGGAAGTACTGGGTTTGATTCTCCGCACCCACACAGCAGTTCACAAACATCTGTAACTCTAGTTTCAGGAGATCTGATGCCTTGTTCTGGCCTCCACAGTACCAGACAAGCACATGTGCACAGATATACATACAGGCAAAACACCCACTCATGCACATAAAATAAAGACAAAGTAAAACAAAAACCCTATAGCTTCTTGGGGCAGCATTACTCGCCCACATAGGGTACCTCCACTCAAACTATTAATGTATTTTTTAGTTTGTAAAATAGTAGGTTCCTTTTTGGTTGGTGGTCCTCCTCACCCCCACATTCCCACTCTCCCTTAAACTCAACACCATTTAAACCTTTCTATCTTTAGTAATCCTCTTTTGCTTCCGAGTTACATGTGTTTTACTGTCCACACACCAAAGACTTCCCCCCCCACTACATCACTCTTATGGTCCCTTTCTTGCCTCCTGGCTGCTATAGGTACTCACTTCAGCTTAAACACAGAAATCTAAAAATTCCAAGGGAGGACCTACGCATAAGAGGAAACAGAGTTTCTTTTTTCAGGGACTGCATTACCACACTCCATTTAATGATTTGTCCCTAAGATGCCACCAATTTAAAACATTTTGTATCTCTTTGTCTACTTTGCAGTGCTGGGTTGGAGCCCAGAGCCTTGCCCATGCTAGGCACGCTCTCTACTGCTGAACTATATCCCAGCTCCAGATATAACTTGTTCAAAGTAACAAACTTGCAATGCCATCCTCTTTCTCTTATCCTATGCAGTGTCCTTAGCTCTCTCCAGAGTAACAGTGGCCAGTGCTCCTGAGTATAAGGAGAGAAGGTAGGGGGAAATAGAGAGAAAGGAGGGAGGGAGGGACAGAGAGGGAGGGAAGGAAGGAGAACAAAAAGCCATGTGGACGGAGGCAGAGCCTAGTTTGGGCTTGACTAGTGAGATGCTGATTGCATCTCTCCTAGGATGTTATTCCAAAAAGGGGAAGATTTCATTCTGAATGTGACTTTGGAATAGCCTAAGTTCAGAAAAAGGCCAACTGATATTTGCACAGTAGGCTCAGTGATAAAATGATGGAACTGAAAAGGGACCGAAGAGATCATCTGTTCTGACCTCCTTTTACAGGAAACTGCACCCCAAAGATACTGACTCATTTGACTAAGGTCACACAAGCTTTGGAAAGCTGCAGAGACGTGTGGCCTGCAGCTTTGGGCTCTCTCGCTTTGTTCATCCTGCTGCCCATCCTGGGAATCCTGTGCTACGCTGAATAGTCTCCCTTTCTCTATCCCATAGGTGTTCCAGAGTCTGTAGACAAGATGGAATCATCTCCATTTAATAGACAACAGTGGACTTCCCTGTCATTGAGAGTAACGGCCAAAGAACTTTCTCTTGTCAACAAGAATAAGTCATCGGCAATTATGGAAATATTCTCCAAGTAAGTGCTGATCTTGGTCCAAGAGGACCATCTGTCTTGATAATTGATGAAGCAATGTAAAATGGCTGCATTGGAAGTTAGGCACTGTAGAGAAAAAGAATGTTATCAATCAAAGGACCCTTCCTCTGTCTTTGGGTTTTTATTTAATCAAGGACAAGAAAATGTTACGAAAAGATACTTATAAAATACTGAAATATAAAGAAACTGTTAACCAAATCCAAAGGAGTGGAAGGAGGATAGATGAGGGACAAGAGGAGAGTCTGTAATGGGCAGGGACCTTCAAGGAAGGCGCTTTGTTTTGTTTTGTTTTGTTCATCCATTGGTTTGCTTGTTTGTATTGAGATGGGGTCTCCTGCAGCCCAGGCTGGCCTTGCACCTACTCTTTAGCTGAGAAGGACTCTGCACTCCTAAACCTCCAGCCTCTGCCTCTCAAATGCTGCCATTATAGTTGTGTGCCACCAGACCCAGTTGTTTTTTAGTTTTTTTTCTCCCCACTCTGTAGCCTGGTTTGTAGCCTGAAACTCACTAATGTATCCCATACTGGGTTGGCACTCATGAACAAAACCCTTGCCTCCACCTCCTGAATGCTGGGTGTCTTGGTGTGAGTGAGCCATCATGCCCTCCCTGTAGGGAGGAAAAATAATATCTTTTAGTTTTTCAATGCTAAGGGTCAAACCCAGAGTCCTACACATGCTAGGTATGTGCTCCATCCCTGAGCTACATTCCCCACCTACAAGCGTCTAAATAACATTTGAAATTCAGCTCGTCAGTTATGCTTGTAGCATTTCAAGTTTCTGATAGCCAGTAAGGTATAATAAGGGGGGGGGAGGGTTATTGAAATGAAGACATCCATTTGCAGGTTGTCTTTGCTTTCACACTGAGCCAGCAGAGACACTGGGTATAACTGAGACTGTTACTCAAAAGTCTAAAACATCTGGCTGATGGGAGAAGTCCTTGTGTGTATATGTTTGTCTTATTGGTTGATAAAGTACTTTTGGCCAATAGGGAAGCAAGATAGGTGGGACTAGGAGTCGAGGAGGATTCTGGGAAATATAGTTAAAAGAAGTCTTGTGATCCAGGCAGGAAGTGACATAGCAGGCAGACTCAGAATATAAGCAGAGGCAAGCAGGAAATCGCTCTCTTCCTCTTCTTCCTCTCTTCTCTGGGAGCCGTCATGTTGTCCCAGAAAGAGGACACATTCCGCCAGCGTCCTTGATAAGTCTTTATGAAATATATAGATTAAGAAATCCTAGTCATTGGCCAGCAGCATTGTGCCTAACATTAATCTCTGTTATTTTGGGCGCCCACATGGAGGCGGGGCTCGGGCAGCTTGGCAGAAAGACTTACCGTTACATTTGGCCCTTTAAGAAAATGAGAAAATGTTTGCCAGCCAGGCTGTCTATAGTAGGTGCTGTTGCACACAGTAAGTGCTGCTGTACATGGTCGGTGCACCTGTACACGGTAGGTACTGCTGTACACAGTAGGTGTTGCCACATGCTGAAGAGATGGTCCATACCATTAACACATCAGAGACAGCAAACAGAGGTTCATTGATGATGGAGGAGAGCCAAGGAGAGGTGGTAGGTTTGCCACACTAGTACTTTATTACCAGGAAGCTACTGCACTTATGAGAAGAAAAAGAGTAAAGACATGAAGACAGTGATTCTAGCAGCTGTGTCTAGGATATAGTTAAACACCAACAGGAGGTTTCTGTGGCCCACAGTGTCACCTTTCCTTTGATAGCAAATCCCAGCGAGGCAGTGATGGCGCACGCCTTTGATCCCAGCACTTGGGAGGCAGAGGCAGGCGGATCTCTGTGAGTTCAGTGAGTTCAAGGCCAGCCTGGTCTACAAAGCGAGTTCCAGGACAGGCTCCAAAGCTACAGAGAAACTCTGTCTCAAACAAAAAAAAGAAAAAAAAAAAGAAAAGAAAGAAAGAAAGGTGATGCAGGCTGTCACCTGGGATCTCAGCTGAAGTCATGGTTTGGAACACCTACACATGGCCAATCCATGAGACTGTTTGGCTTGGTGGCTGGTTTCCAAAGGCAAACATCCAGAGAGGGGGGGAGGAGTAAGAGGAGGGGAGCTACAAGGTACTGCTTTGCCTGCTCACGACCTTAGTTTTAGAAGCAGTGCACGATCGAGTTCGCCATATTCTCAGATGGGAGTCACAAAGTCTGGCTCATAGTCCACAGGAATCAGGTGTGCACTTTGGCTCCATCCTCTGGTGGGAGGAACGTCAAAGATATTTTGAACCTTTGTTTTTCAAGACAGGGTCTCTCTGTAGCTTTGGAGTCTGTCCTAGAACTCCCTCTGTAGACCAGGCTGGCCTCGAACTCACAGAGATCCACTTGCCTCTGTCTCTGGAGTGTTGGGATTAAAGGTGTGTGTGCCACAGCCACCACCACCACCACCATCCCGCTTGAACCTGTTTTAAACTATCTTCTGTAGGTTTCCCTGGTCTTTCTAAAAATTCTACTTTTGTATGTCTGCAATGGGGCCCAAATACCTCAGGGGGATCTCTTTTGTTGAGACAGTCTCTTCCAGCTCTGTATGGCCTTGAACTTGCTACATAGCTGAGAGTAAACCTTGAGCTCCTGCCTCCATTTCCTGACGCAAGTGATCCCCCGATTCCCCTGTTTTGAGGAAGAGGCTGAGAATTCACTGATGGTAGAGGAGGTGAACTTGGGAAATGAGACTTGAATATAGAGCAGAGTGAGTGAAGGGAGGCATTTGGAGCCTGGACGTGATACAGGGAATAGGGAGGCAAGAAATCCTTCATGGCAAAAACCAGGACAGGAAGGGGCCAGTGTAATTCGGTTAGGCCAGGCGGTATGCTCGAGTTCTGTGCTGCAGTTAGGGCTTAGTTAGATTAACAGCAAAATGCAATGGAAAGTTTCTATGCAGGGAGACTGACACGATGAGACTTGTACATCCCAAAGATGCTTCTGGCAAAAGTGCGGAAGGTTTATTAGAAAGGTGGAGAGGTGCGTAACACGGAGGCAACTCATGGGGCTTTCGTGGGGACCCAAGTGAAAGCTGTAGGTGGGGGGGAGCAGGAATTTGGAAGAAAGAAAGGGATATGAGACAGCTTGGAGCTGTGATTAATGGGCCTTGGAAACCACCCCCTATCCTGCAGGGACACCATCCCTCATTCTTACCCTTCCACCCACCTCGGCCCCACCTCAACAACACTCGGCTTTCTCATGACTTGCAGTTCTGTGCTGCCTGCTCTTTCTGCAAGTGTATCCCTGAAATACTCTGGGACTGGGAGTCACAGTTGCTGCTCTCCCATCCTTTGCTATGTCTGATTCTGAAGTCCTAAGCCTGTGCTGTGAGGCCTGAATTTTCCTGAGTCACAAGCAGCCTCCCCTCCCTCTCCTGCAGTAGCATACCAGACTCCGAGCCAAGCTCCTGGACTGCAGTGAAGTCCCTAGCTCCCATTGTCCTTTTCTTTTTGCTGTTCCTCACTGAGAGAATGAAAGGCCAGTGATTCCTGTAGCCATGATTCTTTGGTCCACTCATTGACCTGATACTTTACTTCATAATTTCTTCGTCTTCTCTATGTCTCAAGCTCATCTCTATGTCCCTGCCTCCATCTCCTAGGTATCATTATCCAAAACCCTTCTCAGAAAGGATGTGTTTGGAAAATGTGCCCTCCAGTTAGAGCCTCTCCTGCCACTTTCTGAGGGTAAGTCCCTCTGCCCTTTCTGACTGTGGTCTGTATCAGTGTGCCCTCTTCCTGCACACTGTGCTTGGGGCCTGCCACATGGCTCCCACTGTACCACAGCAATGGGGTCTCGCTGGTACTCAGCTTACTTCTAGTTAGGAATCTCTCCAAGCTCTTGTCTCCTCAGTACCCTCCTTACCCCATCCCTTTGTTGTCTTGCCAGTTCTCATGAGGATTTGACACACATTAGAAAATCAGAAAAGGCCATTCATCTTGGTAGCTTTTTTTTTTAAAAAAAAAAGTGTTTTACCAGGATTTATGTGCCACATGCATGCCTTGTGTTCTTGGAGGCTTCTAATCCTCTGGGACTGGAGTTACGGATGGTTGTGAGCCACCATGGAAGTGCTGAGAATCAAGCCAGAGGTCCTCTGCAGGAATAGGAAGTTCTTAACCGCTGCTGCAGCCGCCCCCCCCTTTTGGGGTGGGGGAGGGAAAGGAACCATTTTTCTGTGTGGCAGCTGCCCTGGAAATCAGTTATGTAAGCCAGGCTCACAGAGATTCGTCTGCCTCTACCTCCCTAGTGTCAGGATTGATGGTCTTCTCAATTCTGCAGAAAGGCCCTTAGAGGTCACATGACCTTCTCCATAGACTAATAGGTTATATGTTTTCTATATGAAGATTATAAGAACAGGCCGGGCATTGGTGGCACACGCCTTTAATCCCAGCACTCGGGAGGCAGAGGCAGGCAGATATATGTGAGTTCGAGGCCAGCCTGGTCTCCAGAGTGAGTGCCAGGACAGGCTCCAAAGCTACACAGAGAAACCCTGTCTCGAAAAACCAAAAGAAAAAAAAAATATTATAAGAAGAAATTGCACAGATAAAAAGTTGCAAATTCCCAACCCATTTAATCATAACCAACTTACCAGGCTTTTATTATGTGTGTGTAGTGGGGCAGGGATATTCTGGGGATTGGATCTAATGTCAGATGCTTGCTAAGCACGCACTCTTCCTCGGAGTTGTGTTTCCAGCTGCTAGGCTCTTGGTAGAAATATACAGTATTTCTAATCCTCACAAAAGCTGCATGGGAGGGGCATTATCCCTATTCTGTAGTTGAGAAAACCTGCTTGAGTTAATATTTGAGTTTGTCTGCTTAGTGTTTTTCCCTGGGGCGTTTATCTTAACATGTTGAACTGGTTTTGAAAGACGAGTGGAGCTTTATTTGGTGGGCTAGGTATTAGGATTCAGGCATTATGCTGGCCTGCCCCAGTCACCTGGCAGGATGCACTCAGGCAGTACCCTGGCCAGCCCAGGGGTCCATAGATGCTCCGTCA